TTACTTCTGGAAGTCTTAAGTTTGAGGTGCCGAGAGGGATGCCTAGTTTATATATAATAATCAATTGGAAATATGAATATGAAGTTTCGAAGAAGGGTTGGGCCCAGTGATACACTTAAGAATCAACAGCATATTGATGTAGCTGAAGTTACGGGAACACATGAGATCACTTTTAAAAAGACAGTAGGAGGAAAAAAAGGAACAAAAAACAAATCCCTAGAAGAATATCAGCAGAGAAAGCAAGAGCAGAGGAAATTAAGAAGGAATATTTGGAGAAATAAGAGTAAACCATAAAGGAAGAAAAGTCCTGAAAGCCAAGGGAAGAGATAATATCAAGAGTATATGATAGGGGGCTTCCCTGGTGGCACAGTGGTTGAGAATCTGCCTGCCAATGCAGGGGACATGGGTTCGAGCCCTGGTCTGGGAAGATTCCCACATGCCACAGAGCAACTGGGCCCATGTGCCACAACTACTGAGCCTGCGCATCTGGAGCTTGTGCTCCGCAACATGAGAGGCACGACAGTGAGAGGCCTGCGCACCACGATGAAGAGTGGCCCCCGCTCTCCGCAACTAGAGAAAGCCCTTGCACAGGAACGAAGACCCAACACAGCCAAAAATAAATAAATAAATAAAATTTTGAAAAAATAAAAAAAAAAAAAAGAGTATATGATAGGGCTTCCCTGGTGGCGCAGTGGTTGAGAGTCCGCCTGCCGATGCAGGGAACACGGGTTCGTGCCCCGGGCCGGGAAGATCCCACATGCCGCGGAGCAGCTGGGCCCGTGAGTCATGGCCGCTGAGCCTGTGCGTCCAGAGCCTGTGCTCCACAACGGGAGAGGCCACAGCAGTGAGAGGCCCACATACCGCAAAAAAAAAAAAAAAAGAGTATGTGATAATCCAGATGCAAACTATTATATATAGGATGGATAAATGACAAGGTCCTACTGTATAGCACAGGGAACTACATTCAATATCCTGTGATAAACCATAATGGAAAAGAATATGAAAAAAGTATATATATGTATAACTGAGTCACTTTGCTATGCAGCAGAAATTAACAACATTGTAATTCAACTATACTTCAATAAAATTTTTTAAAAAAGAGTATATGACAATCCATAATGTCAAAAGTTCTGGAAAGAATGAATAAAATTCAACTACTGGATTTGGTGATTAACAGCTCAATGATGACCTTATAATTGGAGCCATGTCATCAGAGTGATGTGAGAAAAAGAGAATAGCTATGCAATGCGGGGGGGGGGGGAATGAGTTGAACGAAAAGGGAATGTAAACCACTCAAAGTTTATAATGATTTTACCCATCACAGAGGGAAGGCTCTGTTCTTTAGCAGCACCTGTGTCAACAGTACATTGTTCCAATAGCTGAGTTTCCAACTCCCTGAAGATTAAAAAAGAAAAAAAAAGTTACTGGAATTACAATAATTCAACTAATATCCTTTTCTTATTTAATACTTTTACTTCATAACAGATCATGATGCTTTAAATAAAAGTGGTTTTACCCTTAAAAGATGAATATACTCAAGGCTAGTAAAGAATGGAATAAATAACATTAAATGTCCATACTACAAGTCCTCTATTGATCACTGTAAAAAAATTTGCATGTTTTTTGGCACAGGTGAAGCAAATGTGCTAAATGCCAAGAAACTTACTTGTGAAGAGCTTTTCCTCCTAGGGGTAGTGCTCCCCAACAATTTAGTACTGGGATTCCTTCATATATCTATAAGGTAGTCAAGGGTATTACTATTTTAGGAGGTAAAATGTGTTTCCCTCAGTATTTTCTTCACCTCTGTATTATTGTTCTAAATCAGCTTGGCTGGCAAATTCTTATTTCTTTTTTTAAAAAGAGTTACAGAAAAATCAAAGAGTCTTTTACTTCTCCAAAGAAAACAGTTAAACATATACATACACACACACACACACACACACACACACACACACACACACACACACACACACAGAATTCATTTGTTCGAGCTTGGGTGTCCAACAGTGTAGCCACTGACCACATGTGGCTATTGAGCACTTGAAATATGGCTGGTCCAAATATGATATGGTCCAAACTGAGATGTGCTGTAAGAATAACCTCCACAGCAAACACAGAAAACTTAGTAATAAAAAAAAAACCTGTAAAATATCTCATTATAATTTATTATATTGACTATATATTGAAATGATAGTATTTTAAATACATTGGGCTAGATAAAATACACTACTAATGGCCTCTCCTGTTGCAGAGCACAGGCTCCAGACGTGCAGGCTCAGCGGCCACGGCCCACGGGCCCAGCCGCTCAGCGGCATGTGGGATCTTCCCGAACCGGGGCATGAACCCGTGTCCCCTGCATCAGCAGGCAGACTCTCAACCACTGTGCCACCAGGGAAGCCCCTGAACTTTTAAAATCTGTAGCTCTTAGAAAAATTTTAAATTACATATGTCTCACACTGTATTTCTATCAGAGCTGAGAGGACAGTGGACAATACTGTACTGTGGGTTTGCTACTTTATTTTATATATTGTTTTTGTTGATGTTTCATAAGTACATTATTTATGAAAAAGAAAAAAGTATATTGTTAAGAGCACTGGCTTTGGAGACAAACATGGGTTTATATCTCGGCTATACAATTCTATTAACTTGGGTCAACTACCATCTCAACTTTCAATCATCTTACTCATATAATGAAGAGAATAATACTTTTGTTGCAGGGACTAACACACAAAATACTTATATTTAAAAAAGCTATTGCCTAATTTAGTTCTTTAGGAGCTAATGATTCTTGATTTCCTTCCCATGAGTACTTCTTCTAATAAATACACACATAGGTCTCAAAATTGCAAGAGTTTTGCATTTATGTACTTCAAACTCCTTTTCAAATGTAGCAAATGTCTACTGTAACATTTCTAAGAGATGTTTACCTATACTCTACTTAAATTCTTCTAATGATGGGGAATGGACCAGTTTATAGTCAGTAATTTCATTTTGGAACAGCTTAAATTACTAGGGAGTTCTTCCTAATGGCAAATGATATAAAAACTATAGCACTTACTGTGCAATTTATGTGCTAGGTCTTATGCTAAATATTTTACATACATTATCTCACTCAAGTCACACAATGCCCCATGAGGCAGAATTATTATAATTCCCATTTTACAGATGAGGAAACTAAGCCCAAAAGAGATTAAGCTACTTGACCAAATTCATACAACTAGAAAGAAGCTTAGCTGTCATACTGCCCCCATCACAGCCTCAGGAAATAGAAAAAAAAATCTATTTACTTTTCCACAGCGAGCCCTTCAGCTATTTGAAAGCAGAATTCACGTTGTCATTTAAGTTTTAACTTTGGTTTAACTTTCTCATTTATTTTTTAAAATTTTTTATTTTTATTTATTTATTTTTCATTCCCCTATTCTACACTGCCTTTAGCCCCTGGTAACCACTAATCTACATCTGCCTTTTTTTTTTTTTTTTTTTCCTGACGTGGACCATTTTTAAAGTCTTTATTGAATATCTTACAATACTGCTTCTGTTTTATGTTTTGGCTTTTTGTCCGTGAGGCATGTCAGATCTTAGCTCCCCAACCAGGGATCGAATCCGCACCCTCTGCACTGGAAGGCAAAGTCTCAACCACTGGACTGCCAGGGAAGTCCCTAACTTTCTCATTTCTGTTTCCAGTTATTCTTCATATGATCTTTTCTTAGAACTTGACTATCCTACCCATCTTCTTTGACACATCCTAATTAGCTGATATTCCTCTTAAAAACTGAACATAATAGGTCTGATCTCTAAAGTTTATACTGGGACCAAGTCATAATGACAATTTCTACAAAAAGTAAATTTAAGTCTCACAATCCTGTGAATTTTTTCCACATATGTCATATTTGTACATGATAAACTAAAATAGCTTGATGCAATAAAAACAATTTGTAATAAGCCTAATTATTCTAAAGTAGAGTAAAATCTGCAAAATTAGCTGGTTTACAAAAAAGATACAGGTAACACCAGGCTTTCCCTATATCCACAATCCAGGACCATGGCAGAGTTTATCCCAAGTGTAAGAAGAGCCATTAGATGACTTGGAGCAAGCAAGACAGATGGAACCTAGAAAACAACAAATCCAAAACAACAACAAAACCAGAATGAATGTCAGTAGTTGAAGGTGTTTCCCTTACATTTCAAATATATTTGAAAAAATTCATAATTATGATACCTAATCAACCATTTTATGGCACTAAATTAAGAATTAGTTGATTTATTTGAATTTACACAATAAACAAAATACACTATAATAAACAGAAACACTCTTTAAGTTCTCTAAGTCTTTTCATTCTGAAATGACAATTATGAAGCATTTTTATTAATTCAGTTCTCTCTCTTTTGGAGGGAAAACTGAAAAGGATAAAAGAGGTCCAGAAACATACATTCAAAGGAAGATGCTAAATTTAAAAAATAAAGAGATGCTTATCATCAAAATAGAAATAGAGAAGAATTCTTGATTGTCCTCATTCACAAAGTTCACAATATGAACTATATTCTAAAAGTATTATAATATAGCAGTTGAAACTAAATTGAAGAACTACAAAAATCCTTAGCTCTAAGTGACATTTTTCAGTGAAATCTGCCAGATCTGGTGACATCCCAAATATCAGGTAAATATTCAATCAAAATATGCAAGTCCATAATAACCAAGTGGCAAACAAAATAATGGCTATATTTCCTTTATCTAAAAGTACAGCAGGTATTCTGGTTATATACCAGATAAGCATACTAACATAAATATAACTAAAATGCTAAGTTCAAGTAAAAATACAGAAAATCATCTATTTTATTCAGATAAGAGCTAAAGTGACTTCCTGCTGTGTTTTGTGTTCTCCCTATTGCAAACCCAATTCCTGAATTAGTGACATCAGTAAGTACAGGAGAGTATGTAACCTGTTTCTCTGTGCCTGTCTTACTATATTATAACTTAGAAATATTAACTGCCCTTATCTCAGAAATACATTGTGATTTTTGATATATTTTGTGTTCAGTAGAATTATGAAAATTACATTTACATGTGCTTAATTTCTTATATACTATACACATTTTATACACTCTTCCAAATTGCTGAAAAACTCTAAATTCCTATGGCAGAGATTTTTTTTAAAAGTTAAATAATAAAGATTCTGGCCTACTATGAAATGTAATCATTTAAGTCATAATTTTGGTCTTTAAAGTAATCTTGACTCCTATAAAATGAAAGCTACAAGTAATATTACTAATATCAGGATATAAGAGTCACTCCTGGCACTGCTCACTTATCTACAGGAGACATTATTTGTATACTCCATTTAAGGGGAATTTAAAGCCTAAAATGAAAGAATTGGATAATTTAGAACATCCAGCATAACTAAACAATGAAAACTAGAAAAGACCTGGAAGAAAAACATCAACTTCACAGCACAGATTATAACTTTTACTTTCAGAAAAAAGTCCCAAAACTTAAAACCTGTACTAAAATAAACAAACAAGGGAAACAACAATAAAAAGAAACCTTCAATTATCTAAGTATTAGATGAAATGCTTATTACACATGAAATAACCACACAAAGAAAGAAAATAAACGGTCAATTTGTAAAGGATTCAGTTTATTTCGTCATCCAATTCCTCTTTCCAATGAAGGAAATAAAATGAGGACCTTTTAGTTTAAGCTTTGAGTACCTACTAAGAACAACAACATAAAAAACAGGTACCTCAAAATACTTGAAAAGAACACGAGTGAGTGTCTCTCTGAAGTGGGAAGGACATAATACCGACTCAATAACCACAACTCTGCGGTCTCTGGGATTCACCAATAGATGCCTGAAAAGTGATAGTTTTGTTTTTAAAAGTAAATAAAAGTTTGTATTTATTTTGGTACATAATGCAATTTGTTAAGATTAGAGAAATCATACCACCTTCACTTAAGAAGCTTTACAACAAAAAGACATCTTCATTTTATTATCCGTGAAAGATAACGCTTTCATTTTTTAATTTTTAAATGTTTTTAAATTTTTTATTCAGTTTTGAAAGGTTATTTTCCATTCACAGTTATTACAAAATATTGGCTCTATCCCTGTGTTGTACAATACAGCCCCGAGCCTATCATACACCCAGTAGTTTGTGCCTTCCACTCCCTCACCCCCATGTCGCCCCTGGTAGCCCTTAGTTTGCTCTCTATATCTGTGAGTCTGCTTCTTCTTTGTTATATTCAATAGTTTGTAGTATTTTTTAGATTCCACAAAGAAGTGATATCATATAGTGTTTTTCAGTCTCTGTCTGACTTGTTTCACTTAGCATAATGCCCTCCAAATCCATCCATGTTGCTGCAAATGGCAAAATTTTGGTTTTTTTTAATGGCTGAGTAGTATTCCATGGTATATATCAATATATATGCCACAGAAAGATAACATTTTTGAACTCTTACTACATGCCATGTACTGTGTCAGGAAATTTACATTATTAACTCATTTATCTCAGAAAACAAAAACTATAGCCTATTATGAATACTGACTTGAGCCATTAAAAAGATATTTTCTTTTTTTAAGCTACAAAAGTAGTATATGCTCAAAAGACTCCAAATATTATAGAAGCTTATAACTTGGAAAATACAAAAATACCATATATCCCTACTACGCAGAAACTTTCACTTACAGCAGTTTATAGATTTTCATTATTGTGTATGTATACGCATATATTTTAACAAAAATATTCATTCCATAGATGTTGTTCTGCAACATGCTTTTTTCAATTATCAGAATATCTAAGACATCTTTCTGTATCAGTACATATAGACACAGAACTTTTTAAATGACAATATAGTGTTTTACTATATGGATGTACAATAATTAAATTATCCAATCCCCTTTATTAATGGACATTTGACTTATTTTCAATATTTCCTTATGCTTGCTAGTTTCCTAGTCTTCAAATATATTTTTTAAAAGATTGAAAATAAGAAAGTTAAAATGGCAATGGAAATTAACCTTTTTTTTGCATTAGAAATAATACAACCAAATATCAGTATGATGGGCACTAGGAAAAGCTGGGCGGGGGGGAAACACAATTGCATTTTACCTGAAATACAGTATGTGGACGAATTCCTTTAGGTAGGAATATAATTCTTCTGTATTGATATTATATTGTACAACTTTGATAGGCTATAAAAAATTAAAATGATTTATTAATTTATAATAATAAAATAATCTCAAACTAAAACATGCTAATTTATTTTTCTAAAGGATTTTCTGGTAATAAGTCAAAAGCAATTTGTATTGAGAATAGATAAAAACATCAAAAATAGATTAATCACTTAAATTAGAAATGTTTAAGAACTGGCATGTCCAAGATGACAAAATGTTTTGGTTTATGGAATAAAAATCTGTGTCCACAGTAAGTAAAGAGCTGTACTCATCACATTTTTCTTCCATCTGACATTATTCTGGCATCACTGATAAAAAGCAGCATCAATTAAAAAGCATCAAAGGCTTCCTCAAATACTCCACACTTGGTTCAGTCCCTGTTATTTACTCCCAAAGCATTGACACTTTTCCTTTTGTAGTATCACCCCACTTAATTACTTGTAAAATGTCTACCTTCCCATTAGACTACAAACTCCATGGGGCAAGAACTACTTCTGGCTTGCTTATGATATATCCTCCTTCAACTGATACAGTGCCAGGAACAAAGTAAACAGCTCATAAATATGTGTGGCAAAAATGAAAACAAGCACCATTAGCACTAAAGTAAACACTACCAAACCATGGGTGCTAAGTCAACACTAACACATCACAAGGGCTCCATTTACTGTATCCTGCTCCAATATGTGCTTTTATGAAAACAAATATGCTCATATTTGTTAAATAAGGGAATAATGTCTATATGATGTGAAGGTTGTACAGTTCATATTAGGCAAGAGGAGCTGAAATGATGACAGCAGAGTTATAACCTTCATCAAGGTAAAGAAAGTCATCAACTCAGTGGTCACACAAATCAGCATTCTTTCAGATCTATTTTTAAAAAGTTTAAATGATCCCGTGTACCAGGGGCTCCCGTAACAGAGTGGACCCCTTCAAGACTCTTTATTGGGCTGCATTTCTTCCTGGTCCCACTTTAACAATAGCCAGAGAGGCTCAGAGCTCATTTTTATGTCTGCATTGTCTCAGCACCCACCAACCAACAGTTTCAATTATTTCATTTTATTTTAAATATCCCCAAGAGAGCTTCCAGCCACACTCAATCGCAACTCAAAGCTATTCCAATTTTTTCCTGAGGTATTAATTTTTGTTTTTCTAATGCTCGGATTACAAAGTTTCACGGGTTTTAAATAATCTACCCCAACCTATTTTTCCCCAAAACCTGTTTTTGTTTGCTATCAAGAAGAGGTTTTTCAGGAATGCAAACATTAAGTTATGGTAGAAAAATCTGTATTGATTTTACAGGCAAATTTTATGGCATGTAAAATTATTCTTTCTATTGTTCCACAATTCCTACTCTGCAAAATTAACTTTGGCAAGACTTTCTTTTAAAAAATGTGTTTTTCACAGGTCGTTTGAATTACAGGTAAAGAAATGAGGACCTGGCTCATATTCTGAAGAGGGTAAGAATAAAATGATTCTATAATTACATTACAAGGCTCAGGCAATTATTTTATTGAGCTCAAAAACTTTCTCTTAATGTTATATAATTTCATTTATATAAATTAAATAGAAAAAGCAAATCTATAGAGACAAAGAACATCCGTGGTTGGCTCGGGGTGGGAATGGGGATTAACTATAAGCAGGCATTAGTGATGTTACTGGAATGACAAAAATGTTCTAAAACTGAACTGTGGTGATGGCTGCACAACTCGATATATTTACTAAAAATCACTGAATCGTACACTTAAAATAGATGAATTTTATGGTATGCAAAATTAAACCTAAATAAAGAATCAAAAAAGTTTTCTTGGAATACAGTCTAAGCTACACATTTAGCACTGTTCTAGTCAATCTTATTTAAAGTCACATTTAAAAATATTTTACAGTACAGCATTTATTTTGCTAATTTGTCATAAAAAAATACCTTAGGCATGCCAGCTTTTTTTATCACACTAGGAATTATGCATCTTGGACCAGTTTCTCCAGCAAATCCACATCTACAAACAAATAGAACATTGAAACAATTCAACTTATTATAACATTCTTTTTATATATTTGTCACAGAAACAAGTTTTTCTGTATTTTTTTCAAAGCAGTGGTCACAAAAACATCTAGAAACATCTCTGATGTATTCAAAGGGACAAAAAAACTAAGGAAAAGTTAATACCATCTATTAATAATTATGTATTAAGGGTAAAAAATAAAATTGTTTCAAATTAGTGACAGTGAAATAAACCAGTGTATTATTTTAGGGTCGCATTTACTTTTTTTTCTGTTTTTAATTTTACTTGAATTTTAGGTAACACATCTCTACGGTCCTGAATCTATACTCCACTATCTGACTTCATGTCTGTAATTCATGTTACTCATAATTCCATCATTCTAATATCAGCTTCCATATCGATGCATTTCCTTTGGTCTGGTTTTTAAACTATGCATATGTGACATAATTATAATCACACTGTTCACACATCATGAATTCATAAAATAAGATTCTGCCCATATTGTTAGTCTTCACTGCTATCATTTTTTAAATTGCATAAAATATTTCATCCCTTTTAAAAAACTATTCTCCTTTCTAGAGTATTTAAGTATTTCCATTTCTGTTTCACGTAAAACAAAACTTTGCTAAGAATGTTGTTAAAAAGGATTGCCATGTAAGTCTGGTCTTAATATTATCTTTCCTTGTCCTGTCTGGTTTTCAGTACTGCTCTCCTCCTGTTCCCAAACAGCTCTCTCTCCATCTTCTTTTAGTCACATCCCCACGTTTACTTGACTTGTACCAGTGCTCCTCAAATTCCCCAGGATGCATAAACTCATCTTATCACCCTCCTGTTGTCTTTGTCAATAACGGTCCTCCTATATAGTAGTTCCACTTCTCATTTCCGCAGCATACCTAAAATAATTATCTTTGGGTGTTAGCCTCAAGGTACTTACCATGGTATTTAAATAAACCTTTAAAAATAAATTAAAAAATATGATTATGGGAGCATCTTGCTTAGAACAGTAAGAGAATAACATGAACCAAGGACTATGTTTAAGCCAATTCTGGAGCACCTGAAGTCCAACTGTCCTGTTTTTTTTTTTTTCTTTGGCAGCACTGGACGTCTTGTGGGATCTTAGTTCCCCAACCAGGGATTGAACCTGGCCCTCGGCAGTGAAAATGCCCAGTCATAACCACTGGAGTGCCAGGGAATTCCCTCCAATTCTTAAATAGGCTCTTTTGACCACTTGTTCAACAAATAGTTATTAAATACATACTACATGTCAGGCACTGTTCAGATATATACAAAATTTTTTCAAATGTTTCCATTTCAGATAGAAGATGCAATTCTGGTTGTCACGTTCCTTTTTCTTGAGAGCAGTACAAGGGCTCTCAATCCGGAGTCCAAGGACCACTGCGATGGTCCTCCAACCCCTGAAATTGTGTGCAAATATTTTAAGGTTTGTGTATTTGTGGCTTTCTTTCGGTCGTCAAAGGGATCTATGCCATCCAAAAGGTTGAGAACCACTACTCTAGTGTTTACAAGTTACCTTTTAAAATGTTAAATTTCCTAATCTAAGAGTTGGTGGGTGGGAGCAACGAAGACTCTAGAGAATTATCTATAGGGTTTCAGTTTTTCATGCATTCAGCCTTCCTAATTCGACTTCCTACTCTTGGGAAGCAGTAGCCCTGTCTTAAACATATTTGAATTTCCAACACCAATAGCATCTCTTTTCAATAAATGCTTAATAACGGGAGGTCGTCATCAAGCATTACAGTTCGGTTGCCACCTCCCTAAGCAGATAAAGCCAGATAAGCGGGGCCTAGGTCATCGCTGTCATCCCCTGCATAGATGACCCCAAAGGGTCCATTCAGTTTGGGGTGACGACCGGGGCGGCAATGAAGGCAACTTTCCCGAAGCCTCCTGGGCCTCTCTAGGAGTCAGAACCTGACCGCTCCACCGGATTCCCGGGATTTGCATCGCCCACGGTGTAAGTAACAAGGGCCGTCATTTGCGGGTCCTGGGGGAAGAAGTGGAGACGGAACAAGCCGCCTCTGGAGCCTGCGACGAGGACCCGGGCTGGGCCTGGGGCTCGGCTACCCGCCCTCCCCTCGGGACGACGGCAGCTGGCGCCGCGGCCACTCACTTGGTAAAAGCCTCTCCCAGGTCTATCACGACCGCCGTTTTCTCTCCGCCGCTCCCCAGGCCCTCGTACAGCGGCATGGTAGTAAACAAGCCGGTAAGGAGACGGGCGCTGACACACCTTGTCTGCCGACAGCTCTCGGCTCTCGGGGGGCGGGGCCGGGGCGACGGCGCTCAGGTGGTGGCGACGGCGGGGGCCTCGCGTGGCCGCGGCGCACGGGGCCCGGGCTGTCCCTGGCTGTGCCTCACTCCGCATCGGGCTTTGAACCGTCGCAGGAGCCCGCGTCCCGGGGACTAGGAAGGTACGGGTGCAGGCAGCTGCTGATCTGGATGCGGGGGATGCAGAGGACCGAGGCGATCAGGCGCGCCGGGTGCCCCGAGTTGGGGCGGAGCCAACCCCTGGGTCCTTCCCTCCGGACACGCCCTCAAGTGGCGCAGGGGCTGGGGTCCTTTCGAGAGCTTCTGTGGTCAGATCGCTGAACCTCTCCATCGCAGAGGACGCTGAGAGAAGTCACAACCCCAAAAGCTTTGATTCCTGCAGTCTTGGGACAAAATTTGCTGTGCCAGGTGTTTTGCCTATCATTTATTCTTCGCAAGAAATATCGGAAGTAGGTGTTACCTCCTTACGTGTTTGAACCGAAGTAATGTTCCCAGTGCCCCACCGCCAAGCCAGGATTGGACCCCAAGACTTTCTGATTTCAAAGCCTGTACTACTGATGCCTTAGAGAAGAACACGTACAGACAAATTTTTATTTGGTGGTCATTCTGCTGAAAGTTAATTTTAATCTAGAAGAAAGCAGTTAGTAGCATCTACAAATCAGTCTGTGGAGGAACAATCAAGGTGGTTTAATGGAAGGAACATTGAATCGGGTTCCTGTTTATTCTAAAACTGAGGAACTGTGTAACCTGAGAAAGGTTAGGTCTGTTTTCTTTCTGCTGAAATTGCCCGTGAAAACTGGAGTCAGTGGCGTACGTTGCTGCCTTGTCTCTATGACTGTAGAAAGGGGAATGACCTGTTTTTCCCCAGCGTGTCTTTCTTACCTACTGTACGTGCCTGAACCTCCCCACCGAAGGATAAGATCCTTCTATAATAAGAGTTAAAGCTATACAATGCATAAGCTTGGAAAATGTGACGTTAGTAGAATTCACTGATCAGTGGCCTTCCTGAAATTGAGTTGCCGGAGGTAAGAGGATGATGTTGGAGTTGTGAATGGGGAAGGAAACTTCAGAAAGGTTGAGAAAGGATGAAGCATTTTGCTAACTAGGATCAGAGTGTTGGAACAGGACTCATCTCAAATTCTGTTTCTGCCACCTTCTGTCAAGCCGCTAATACTTTTGATCATCCATTTACTTATCTATAAACTGTCCTGCTACTTCTCAAGGTAGTTGTGAGGATCAATTGACATTGAATTGAAAAGTATTCAATTGACAATTGTATGTCAACTGACAAAAGTATGTCAATTGACATTGACACTGAAAAGTATTATTATCCATTCTGTGTTTTCCCTGACTGCTTACCAGCTATATTAGTTTCCTAGGGATGCCATAACCAAGTACCACAAGCAGAGTGGCTGAAAGCAATAGAAATGTATCCTCTCTTAGTTGTGGAGGCTAGAAGTTTGAGATTAAGGTGTCAGCAAGGTCATGCTCTCTGTGAAGACTCTAGGGGGATACTTCCTGTCTTCTTTCTAGCTTCTGGTGGTTGCTGGCAACCCTTGGCCTTCCTTTGTTTGTGGATGCATCACTCCAATCTCTTGTCTCTGTTGTCACCTGGTCTTGTGTCTCTGTGCCTTCATATGACGTTCTCTTCCCAGCGTTTTCACAACATTTTCTTTCTGCATAGCTCTCTGTGTCCAAATTTCCCTCTTATAAGAAAACCAGGACTTCCTGGTTAAGACTCCATCTTCCACTGCAGGGGGCGTGGGTTCAATCCCTGGTTGGGGAAGTTCCGCATGCTGGGCCATGCAGCCAAAAAAGAAAAGAAAAGAAAACCAGTCATTGGATTAGGGCCCCAATCCTAATCCACTATGATCTCATTTTAACTTGATTATATCTACAAAGACTCTATTTCCAAAAAAGATCATATTTTAAGGTTCCCAGTGGCCAAGAAATGGGGTGAATACTGTGCAACCCAGCACAACAGCTAAATGTTCTCCACAGCCCTGCCCTCAGACCTCTTTTCTTCTTACTGTATACCCTCTCCTTTAATAATCTTACTCCCCTGAGTATACCTAGAGCTAATATTTGTTGAGTTCTGTTTGCTAGCTGTTTGCTGTATATAGTCCCATTCATTTCTCACAATAACTTTATGAACTAAGTATTATTATCTCCATCTTACAAATGAGGATACTGAAGGCGAAAGAAGTTAAATCATGTGCCCAGTGCCTCTCAAAATGGTAAGTGGCAGAGCAGGAATTCAAACCCAGACAGTCTGACTCCAGGACCAAAACTATACTGCATGGTTATAATGTAGTTATATATTAATTCAAGTAATTATATCTTATCGTAGAATTTTACAATCCTAGTATATGAAGTGATATAAGAGTTTTTCAAGTCTAAACTGCAACCTAATACAAGACTTTCCTGTTCATCTCTGATGAGAATTATCTCCTCAAATGGTACCAGAGATGAACAGAGAACTCATGACTGGTTGGGATCTACAAGATACTGAAAATGCATTTGCTAATACACTTAGAGGTTTAAAAAAAAAAACAGAAAAGTAAAAATGCTGTAAAGATAAGAATCACTTTTTTATTTCCTCTGGCCACGCTGTGCGGCATGTGGGATCTTAGTTCCCAGATCTTTTCGAACCCTCGCCCCCTGGATTGGAAGGGTGGAGTCTTAACCACTGGACTGCCAGGGAAATCCCAAGGATAAGAATCACTTTAAAGAAACCCAACTTCCAGCAGCTTGGTATATGAACCTGAGTTTAAGTCCTAAGTCTGTTAGTTAGCCTACTGACCTCAGGCAACTCCATTAAACTCTCTGGGCTTCAGTTTCCTCCTTTGTTTGTGGTTTGTTTTTGTGCCCTGGTGGTTGGTGATTCTCCTTTGGATGGAATGATGACTTCTTTGCCAATCAGTCAGCCTGAATAGATAATTGTAACTAGTATCAAGATTTATCCTGGTTCCTTAGGAAACCTGAATCTTTTTTTCCTCTCCAGTTTTATTGAGAAATAATTGACGCATATCGCTGTATAAATTTAAGGTAAGCAGCATGATGGATTGACTTACATATATTGTGAAAAGATTACCACAGTAGGTTTAGTTAACATCCATCATTTCATATGGATACAATAAAAAGGAAAGAAGAGAAAGAAAATTCTTGTGATGAGCACTCTCAGGATTTACTCTGTTTTGTTTTGTTTTTTAAATTTATTTAATTTAAATTTATTTATTTTTGGCTGTGTTGGGTCTTCGTTGCTGCATGCAGGCTTTCTCTACTTGTGGTGAGCGGGGGCTACTCTTCGTTGCGGTGCGTGGGCTGCTTGTTGCCCTGGCTTCTCTTGTTGCAGAGCACGGGCTTTAGGCGCACGGGCTTCAGTAGCTGTGGCACATGGGCTCAGTAGCTGTGGCGCACGGGCTTAGTTGCTCCGCGGCATGTGGGATCTTCCCGGACCAGGGCTCAAACCTGTGTCCCCTGCATTGGCAGGCGGATTCTTAACCACTGCTCCACCAGGGAAGTCCCAGGATTTACTCTTTTAACAACTTTCCTGTATATCTTACAGCAGTGTTAACTACAGTCATCAAGTTTATAGCTTTTAACCATCTTCCTCCAGTCCCTCCCTCCCCCCACTCTGCCTCTTTTTCTTTGAGTTTGGTGTTTTTGTTTTGTTTTCCTTACATTCCACATATAAGTGAGATCATAAAGTTTTGTCTTTTTCTGTCTGACTTATTTCACTTAACATAATGCCTTCCTCACTTGCAAAATGAGGTAGATGTATAAGCACTAATAACCTAAACTAAGTTGAACTGGAATCTTCATCCCTTTGGCTAATACTGAGTATTCTCCCCTGCTCTTCCTACCTTTTTTTCCCCAAAAGCTAGTCATTCCTATTCCTCTCTATCCCTCATTTTCATGGTTTTCAGGCCACTTATGAGCCCATTTACCTACTTCTGGAGTTTCTCTATTTTGGTATGGGCCCATAAATTACACAATATCGAAGATGTGTCTGAAGAGCTCATGGTATGATAGGGCTCTACTCTCGCTCCAGCTGCATTCTCTACTAAAATATAGCAGTAGGTTTCTTTGTTTTATTTTCAGTCATATCATACTGTTGATTCAGTTCTCTCTCACCTGGCAAATGAAAACCTAATGTCTACCTAAATTTGGAGCTTTAGACCTCTTTCTGTTAAATTGGTTTTTTCCCTTTGGCTGTGCCGCATGCCATTCAGGATATCAGTTCCCCAACTAGGGATCGAACTTGCGCCCCCTGCAGTGGAAGTGTGGAGTCTTAACCACTGGACCGCCAGGGAAGTCCCCTCTTTCTGTTAAATTTAATCTAGCAAGTTTTGTTTCATCTTTCCAGCCATTCCATATCATATTTTTAAAATCCAGTTTTTTTTTACATATATTTGCTTTATTAATCCTCATTAAAAAAACTTGCTGATTTGGTTTATTTAACAAATAATGTGAACAAAGGTTTGGAAGGAATGATATCACAAAATTACATGGTTAGACAATGCTACAGCTGTAGTACAAATTTTGCTTTGTTTTCCAACTTAACATTTCTAAAAATGGGATACATACCACACTTAGGTTTCACCATGAATGTGACCTATAAAATCAATAATCAGAGACCACATCCAGCAACCCCAACATTGTCTACTTCCAGCTCATTCACAGGATCACTCCCCATGTATAAGCTCTCCTATCACATGGGACTCCGATATTCCATTGTCCCCACTTTCCATCCATCAGCCCCTAGCATTCCTCATTCTTACTGCCTAATTTAATCCCCATTTACTCATTTAAACCTATTTTTACTAAGACAAATAATTCATAAGTTTATCTGACCTCTTACCATATCTCCTGATCAAGATACCAATCCCAGTGACTCAAAATTCTTCCCTAGTCAGTGGCTGCTTCAGATGAAGCACATTATTAGAATATTGATCCTCATCTAAATACAGAATCACAAATCCCAGTAACTTTCTAATATATCTGGCAATCCAACTATACCTTGGTAA